ATTATGTTATAATATATTAAATGTTTAATAGAGACGTTTATTATAGAAGATAATCGAAATAAATATAGTTAAGATTTGCTATGATATAGGGACCGCGTTAGTAGGAAAGTAGGATAATCTTTAGTGAACAGAGATTTTTTTTATGTATATATATATATGTTTACGAATCTTTTCTCGCAATAGATTCGTGTATTTAGGAAACATCTAAATTTATTAGGTTGGAGATTTCTATGAAATAGGGCACGTGATAATAAGACATTTTAGAGATGTTTAATTGAGTAGGATTCTATTAATGTCTGTTTTAATATACCACTATTCAAAATTGTGTTATCGCATATGGTTGTTTACATAATTTCTATTAGTCTTTATATAAAATTTTCCTATAAATTTTATATAGGTGCGTTTAAGTAAAATAGAAAATACATATGGACCCAAAATCGAATGACCATGTAATCACGTTCATTATGAATAGTGGTATTTAATTACATTCCTGTGTATATTTTGCGTGAATGCCATATTAAACATATCTAATTGTGTTATCGCATATGGTTAATTTCTATTAGTCTTCATATAATATTTGAACATAAATTTTATATAGGTGCGTTTAAGTAATATAGAAAATACATATGGACCCAAAATCGAATGAACATGTATGTAATCACGTTCATTATGAATAGTGGTATTTAATTCTTCCTGTGTATATTTTGGGTGAATGGCATATTAAAACATATTTAATTGTGTGCATCTTAACAATATAGGGAAAAGAGACTCAATTAGATGAGAAATCTTGAAAATCAATTGGGATCGAAATAATTAGAAATTATAAAGTTAATCCTATATAATCATAAGTTATACGTATATATCAGTTTCAATATGATAATAAATATTTTATTAACGTGTATTAGGAAATTTTAAAAATAATAATTTATCAATTGGACGACACATGTATAAAGCAAATATTTCATGATATTATCACTCATGAAATAGGTAGGCATTACAGACAATCACTTCAAAGAACACAATATCAATTATAAGGGATGAAAAAATTTATAAAGCAAATAAATATTTTTATTATCAATCATGAAAACTCGGGAACTAT